CGCGAACAGACGACTTCAGCTTCTCTCTTTGCGTTTTCCTTCCCTCTCTCATCTCTATGGCAAAACTTAGTCTGAGCAAATGAAACCTCTTCCTAATATTTTTTTATTTATTTATTAGTTTCCTTAGTTTTACTCTCGCTCCATTAGGTCTTACGCGTTTATTTATACGTCAATAATTATTTCGATATTAACATTCATGTCGTGTCTCGTATTTAATGTTAATGTATGTGTAATATGCGCATGTAATACGTGTAGAATAGGCATGTGTGTGTTTTACGTGTTTCTTTTTTGCTTTTTATCGGTTTCTTATTACAAAAATCTCTCCGTCGTTTCCCTCTCTCGTCGCTGGAATACAACTCGAATACATTCGTTCTCTGTTCATACTGGTATTTGAACCGGGGCTCGGTCGCGAGTACAAAAACAGTCATCAAGAAACACCGGGGCGGGTGAAACGGAGTTCCGATCTCAAATGGACCGGCCCCAGTTTAACACTAGGTTCACGGGCATTTATTGTACCGTTGGCTTTATTATTCCTAGAAAAATTGATGTTTGTTCGATTAGATTTTGAACATTAGACAATGGGTACGAATGTTTGTGTAACAGTTTCAACCAAAATTGACATAAACGTTTACCAAATAACGTTTATAAAATTCAATGTGCATCAAATCGACGCGTTCCGTAAGCCTAGTGTTAAATACTGTCGGAAAGATCGAGATTATCGTCTACGGTGTTACCTACATTAACTCGATTGTTCGGTAGAAAAATGTTATTGATTGAATAGAAAAAGTGTAAAAAAAGAAACAAAAACGTAATCGCTTCATTCGAGGTCGAAGGGCTTCGGAAAATGATTCGTACAGGTTCCCGTAAGGAAAGGGAAGAAAATAAAAACGTAAAATGGACGCTAGACATTCGACCTCGATCGATTGAACGATTGTTGAAAATCGAACGAAGAAACGATGGATTGTCGAAAGGCGTCGAATGAATTTGATACGTGCAAAAACAAAAGAAATGTACAATTACCGGAAAAGGGATGTCGATGGCGGAGAAAGTATTCAAACGAAAATTGAAGGAAGAAACGTGATACGAAAATATCAATGGTTGGTTCGATGAAGACTAGTCGATTACCTCTTCCGAACTGTGGTGCAAGATGGGACGGGACGCGCGTTTAATAATACTACGAATAACGAATAATTGACAAACGATAGTCACGCGGTTCGATCAATCTTCGTTCCCGTAAAACCTAAGCCGTATTCGCGTAGATCGTTCGCCGAGAGCAGTGATTTCGCTTCCCTTCCCTCGGACGTACGTTCGAGTTACACTTTCTTCTCGAGAAAGGAAGAAGCAAAGACGAAAAAAATATAATAATAATGATGATGATGATGATGATGATAATAATAATAATAATAATAATAATAAAACAAAAACGAACGAAGAAAAAAAATAAGATCGGGGGTGCGATCGCGAGCGAACGAGCGAGCTGGGCAGCGCCAATGTCGTCTGTTTCTCGACCTGAACGAGTTCAAGGGCAGGGGTACGGTGAAAAACGAAGAAGAAACAAGGAGAGTAGAAGGAGGAAGAGGAGGAGGTAGGAGAAGGAGGAGGAGGAAGAAGAAGAAGAAGAAGAAGAAGAAGAAGAAGAAAAACGAAAAGTGAGAGAAACACGAGGAGAAACAGAGGTCATTGATCGACCAACTCCCGCTGAACGCGCACACCTCCGGGAGATCATTCGAAAGTTTCGTTACAATGTACTTAACGCACGATTACAAGCTA